GGTGAAAACCTCCTGAGATTTGGAACGAAATGTTGGGTTTTTCTTTGTTTTTGACCCATGAGGAAAGCCCAAGTATTGAGCCCATTAAAAGTCTTCTTTGACTTTGTGTGTTTGGGAGCTAATAATAAAATATGGGTCAGCCACTATCTTACATTTGATGGACAGAATGAGAGCAGTAGATAAGAGCAAAAGTCACAAAACATGAGCTGAAATGCTCATCCCGTTTTTCCAGCAGGCAGCAGCAGAAAACATCCCTTTCCCGGAGATTCAACCGTTGGATCGTCGTGATTTTTGGACAACAGCTTCACAGCATCTGAGCCAACATTCTGGACGGTGGAGATCGGGTTTTGAGGTCCGGAGGTCGGGTTTCGTTGGTCTGGACAGTAGCTATTTTTCTGGTGATATTTTTCTTATCTTGGCTCTATTTGATTCCATACACCTTGATGTGCTTACTTCCAAGGATATGATGAATGTGTATGCCTCTAGTATTATCTAGAGAAGACTTTGTACTGCTCCTTTGATGATGATAGTGGATTTAAGCAGCCAAAATGGTCCCGTGGTTTTTCCCTAGTTAACGGGTTTTCCACGCTAAAATTCCGGTGTTTGTGTGTGGTGTGTGCTTACTGTTTTTAGCTGAATATATTGGTGTGTGGCAGCAACTTGTGTGTGTTCTAATTTCATTAAGAACACCCTATTTGTTTGCATCCTCAAAGATTCATTCAAGTTGGGGAAAGTTTAGCCAAACGGAGATTAATTCCGCATTTTATTAGTTCCGTTTGTGGCTGTTTTTCCCATCAAATTGGTATCAGAGCCGAGTTCTTCTGTATTGGGTTAGACTTGTTTGAATGATGGAAGCAAACACAAGCAGGATGATCAATTTGAATGGTTCTAATTATCATGTTTGGAAAGGCAAAATGGAAGACCTACTTTATGTGAAGGATTATTATTTGCCTGTGTTTACTACTGATAAACCTGAGAGTAAAACAGATGCAGAGTGGAATATTTTGCATAGACAGGTTTGTGGGTATATTCGCCAATGGGTTGATGATAATGTTTTGAACCATATTAGCGGGGAAACTCATGCTCGCAGTTTGTGGAACAAGCTTGAACAGTTGTATGCTCGAAAGACCGGGAACAATAAATTGTTCTTAATAAAACAGATGATGAGCTTGAAATACCATGATGGAACTCCTGTCACTGATCATTTGAATTCTTTTCAGGGAATCATAAATCAACTTGCAGGAATGGGTATCAAGTTTGAAGATGAGATACAAGGCTTGTGGCTCCTTGGCACTTTACCGGACTCATGGGAGACTTTTAGGACATCATTGTCCAACTCTGCACCAGATGGTATTATCACCATGGAATTAGCTAAAGGCAGTGTTTTAAATGAAGAGATGAGAAGAAAGTCACAAGGTTCCTTTTCACATTCTGATGTCTTAGTTACAGAAAGCAGGGGGAGAAGTCAGAGTAGAGGTCCAGGTAACAAAGGGAAGCATCGAAGTAAATCCAAAGGAAAATTTGCTGATTTTGAGTGTTATCATTGTGGTAGAAAAGGCCACACAATACGGTTCTGCAGGCAATTGAAAAAGGAGAAGAAGAAGAGCGATTACAACAATCAAAAGAACCATAAGAAAGATGAGGTGGGTAATGGCAATGTTGAAGTTAACACTACTACTGATGAGTTCCTTATTTGTTCTGATCTTGATATGGTCAACATTACACATGATGATTCCAGTTGGGTTGTTGATAGTGGTGCTACGTGTCATGTAACATCACAGAGGGATCTTTATTCATCTTACACTCCAGGTAACTTTGGTAATGTTAGGATGGGTAATAATGGACTATCAAAGATTGCAGGCATCAGAGATATTTGTTTGAAGTTTGACACTGGGATAGAGTTGGTTTTACATAATGTAAAACATGTTCCAGATATGAGACTTAATTTGATCTCCGCAGGCTTACTTGATGATGATGGTTACAGCAACAACTTTGGTAATGGAATATGGAAACTCACTCGTGGTTCTTTGATCGTGGCTAGAGGTAAAAGATGCTCAAAGTTGTACATGACACATCCGAAGATCTTCAAGGATAGGGTCAATGCTGTGGTGAACACTGACATGACTGATTTATGGCATAAGAGACTTGGTCACATGAGTGAAAAAGGGATGTCTCTTTTGTTGAAGAGAAATGTGTTACCGGGTGTGCATGATATTCATCTAAAGAAGTGTTCTCACTGTTTGGCAGGTAAACAGAACAGGGTTTCCTTTAAGAGCCATCCTCCTTCCAGGAAGGAGAGTATACTTGATTTGGTGCATTCTGATGTTTGTGGTCCTATGAAGACTAGGACACTTGGTGGTTGCTCCTACTTTGTCACATTCATTGATGATCACTCCAGAAAGGTATGGGTTTATACCTTGAAATCTAAAGATCAAGTATTTGAAGTGTTTAAGTAGTTTCATGCCTCGGTTGAGAGACAGACTGGAAAGAAGCTTAAGTGTATTCGGACAGATAATGGAGGGGAATACATTGGCCCCTTTGATGCTTATTGTAGAGACCATGGTATTCGACATCAAAAGAGTCCTCCCAAGACACCGCAGTTGAACGGATTAGCAGAGCGGATGAACAGAACTTTGATGGAGCGTGTCAGATGTTTGTTGTCACATGCAGGGCTGCCAAATTCATTCTGGGGAGAAGCTTTGAATACAGCGGTACATGTTATTAATCTAACTCCTTGTGTTCCTTTGTCTTTTGATGTACCTGACAGGGTTTGGAGTGGCAAAGATGTTTCTTACCGTCATTTGAGGGTCTTTGGATGCAAAGCTTTTGTGCACATTCCTAAAGATGAAAGAGCAAAGCTTGATGTGAAGTCCAAACCATGTGTTTTCTTGGGTTATGGCCAAGATGAGTTTGGTTACAGATTATATGATCCAGTCCATAAGAAACTTATTCGAAGCCGAGATGTTGTGTTTGTGGAAGATCAGACCTTGAAAGATGCTGAGAAGAAAGATACAGTTCCTCAACATAATGATGATGTTACTGATTTGCATCCAGTGCCTCCTCAACATGTAGAACCACCTCTTGATAATGATGCTCAGAATGATGAACAACATGATACTGATGCTCCAGAACAGCCAGAGGTGGATGAAGAATTTCATTCAGAGATACCAGTACCAGACGTGCCACCATTTATCCCACTTAGGCGGTCTACAAGAGATCGTCATCCTTCCACCCGTTTTCACCTAATGAGTATGTCTTACTCACTGATGGGGGAGAGCCTGAGTGTTATGCAAAGGTCATGGAAGATGAGCACAAAAGGGAATGGGTTGAAGCCATGCAAGATGAGATGAATTCCTTACATGAAAATAATACATTTGAGTTGGTGAAGTTGCCTAAAGGCAAGAGAGCTTTGAAGAACAAGTGGGTCTACAAAGTGAAGACTGGAGAGCACACCTCACAACCTAGGTACAAGGCTAGATTGGTGGTCAAAGGGTTCAGTCAGAGAAAGGGTATTGATTTTGATGAGATTTTCTCTCCGGTTGTGAAGATGGGATCTATTCGTGTTGTTCTGGGTTTGGCAGCCAGCCTTGATCTCGAGGTTGAACAGATGGATGTCAAAACAGCTTTTCTTCATGGTGACTTGGATAAAGAAATCTACATGGAGCAACCTGAAGGGTTTCAGGTTAAGGGAAAAGAAGGTTATGTGTGTAGACTTCAAAAGAGTCTTTATGGGTTGAAGCAAGCACCAAGACAGTGGTACAAGAAGTTTGAGTCAGTTATGGGGGAGCAAAATTACCGAAAGACTACTTCAGACCATTGTGTTTTCTTCCAGAGGTTTGGTGATGATGATTTCATCATTTTATTGTTATATGTTGATGACATGTTAATTGTTGGCAAGAATGCAGAAAGAATTACTCAGCTGAAGATGCAATTGAGCAAGTCTTTTGCTATGAAAGACTTGGGGCCAGCAAAACAGATTCTTGGCATTCGGATCACTCGAGATAGAGCTTTGAAGAAGCTACACATGTCACAGGAGCAATACATTGAGAAGGTGCTTCGCAGATTCAACATGGACAAAGCTAAAGAGGTTAGTTCACCTCTTACTACCAACTTCAGGTTGACAGATAAAGATTGTCCATCTTCTGAGAAGAAGATTGAAGAGATGGATAAAGTTCCTTATGCCTCAGCTGTAGGGAGCTTGATGTATGCTATGGTGTGCACACGACCTGATATTGCCCATGCAGTAGGTGTTGTTAGTCGGTTTCTGTCAAATCCAGGTAAGAAGCATTGGGAAGCAGTGAAGTGGATTCTCAGATATCTACGTGGTACTTCCAAATTGGGTATAACATTTGGAAATGGGGAGCCAGTACTTGTTGGTTATACTGATTCTGATATGGCAGGAAATAAGGACAACATGAAATCCACTTCTGGATATTTGATGACTTTTGCAGGGGGAGCTGTGTCATGGCAATCGAGACTGCAAAAGTGTGTGGTTTTATCCACCACCGAGGCTGAGTATGTGGCTGCAACAGAAGCATGCAAGGAGCTATTGTGGCTCAAAAGATTTATGCAAGAGATTGGCTTTATGCAACAACGTTATGTGGTTCTTTGTGATAATCAAAGTACCATTCACCTTGCTAAAAATTCTATGTTTCACAAACGAACCAAACATATTGATGTGAGGTATCATTGGATTAGAGATGCACTTGAAGACAAACTGTTTGAACTTGATAAAGTTCATACCGATGATAATGGTGCTGATATGTTGACGAAGGTTCTAGCAAGGGAAAAGTTGAAGGTATGTTGCTCCATCGCCGGTATGGCGAACTCTTCCTCATAAGTCAAAAAGGGGGAGATTTGTTGGGTTTTTCTTTGTTTTTGACCCATGAGGAAAGCCCAAGTATTGAGCCCATTAAAAGTCTTCTTTGACTTTGTGTGTTTGGGAGCTAATAATAAAATATGGGTCAGCCACTATCTTACATTTGATGGACAGAATGAGAGCAGTAGATAAGAGCAAAAGTCACAAAACATGAGCTGAAATGCTCATCCCGTTTTTCCAGCAGGCAGCAGCAGAAAACATCCCTTTCCCGGAGATTGAACCGTTGGATCGTCGTGATTTTTGGACAGCAGCTTCACAGCATCTGAGCCAACATTCTGGACGGTGGAGATCGGGTTTTGAGGTCAGGAGGTCGGGTTTCGTTGGTCTGGACAGTAGCTATTTTTCTGGTGATATTTTTCTTATCTTGGCTCTATTTGATTCCATACACCTTGATGTGCTTACTTCCAAGGATATGATGAATGTGTATGCCTCTAGTATTATCTAGAGAAGACTTTGTACTGCTCCTTTGATGATGATAGTGGATTTAAGCGGCCAAAATGGTCCCGTGGTTTTTCCCTAGTTAACGGGTTTTCCACGCTAAAATTCCGGTGTTTGTGTGTGGTGTGTGCTTACTGTTTTTAGCTGAATATATTGGTGTGTGGCAGCAACTTGTGTGTGTTCTAATTGCATTAAGAACACCCTATTTGTTTGCATCCTCAAAGATTCATTCAAGTTGGGGAAAGTTTAGCCAAACGGAGATTAATTCCGCATTTTATTAGTTCCGTTTGTGGCTGTTTTTCCCATCACGAAAGTAGCGTATATAGAATATCGATGTAAATTTACAAGAAAGAGTAGGAAGCAAAACCTGGTCTTTTTTGTTCGGATGAATAATGAAGCCATAAACACAATAGAATTCAATTGGTGGTAGAATATTAAGCAAACCTCCAAACTCGGTTTTTGACCATTTTTGGGTTTTCACTTAACCAGACCAGGTTTTGGTCCGAATCACCAGGTTCCATGTAAGTTTTTTAAGCATAGGTATTTAGTAAAAAATTGATTGATAAGATTAAGAAATCGAAAATTTAAGTAAAAGGTTGAAAAATAATTTCTGACTATTTGCAAACACTCTCTAATTTCGTTTTATGTACTTTGTTGATTGCAATTCATTCGACTTCTCATGATTAGCTAATTGTTTCACTTTACTCATATTAGACTATTCAACTATTCACATTTGAATTTTTCAGTTTTTTTTTTTGGCATTTTTCGTTAATTTCGTTCTTCAACTTTTTTATCAATAGATTTCAGATCTGAATAGGAAATTCCAAGGGTTTTTTTTATTTAAAACAAAATTGTTTTGTGCCCATACACATCATAATCTTAGGACGTTTTGTAATGGTGCTCATTATCTGAATGTTCAATCTTAAACCAAACATGGGTTCATAATATCCTGGAGCATAAAAGATCAAATGCAATTTGATCTATCTTGGTTGTTGTGTGAAATGTTGTTTCTGAATTCATTCGTTATTTGGTTTATTGATCAAATATAGTCTCTTATGGTCGACACTAGTATGTCAAGTTTCTTGGCTCCTGTGACCATTTTTTTTAGAGAACTTTCCCCTTTGACATTGGATATCAACTTCCCTTATACATGAAAACCCCTAGATATTTTCTAGAAACGGGTGGATATTAGGTTTCACCTTATAGGTCAACATAATAGGAGAAATAACTCGTGATCTTAATATAACATTTTTTTATACTCTACCGGTGTAGGACTTCAATACCCCTAATCACGAGTCACGATCTAACATTTTGTCTAAATGATACAATTATTAAAAAATGACAATGATGAACCAATGTAATTTTAACTTTATTTAAAAATAAATATTTAATTATTAAGTTGACACAAATGTTAACATGTCAAGTACTAACAATAATCCTATCCTATATACCTAATGGGAGAATCCCTCCCCAAATCTTTTCCTGCTTCTTTCACCAGATTTACTCCGTATTTACTACCTTTTTCCGTTCTTCTCCGATTACTCCCCAACAACCAGGCTTGAGGTACACATTTTTGTACACACACTTACACACTCGTATCTGTGGAGTGTTTTGTTTTGTCTGTATACAGACACAACTTATTTCACAGACACTTCAAATGTGTTGTGTCTGTATACAGACAAAAAAACACTTCACAGACATAATTGTGGAAGTGTGTACAAAAAATGTGTAACAATAGTTTTTTGAAGTATACACCAACCAAAGGACATAACTCTGCAATTATCCTTTGCAATGAACGATTCCTTCCGTTTTTTTGCAGCCAGCCACAATTCAACAGACTTAACTCAGTAATTTTCCTTTGCAATCAACGATTCCTCCCATCTTTCTTTCTACATCCAGCGCAGTGGACTCCATCGTGCTTTGGCAAATTGGTCTTCAAAAGGTATTTCAGTTTCAGTTTCTCTTCCGCTCTATCCCACATCTGGATTTTAACCTTATAATCAGCAAACCCTTCTCTCATCTGCGCTTTTCCTCCCGATAAAAGCTTCAGCTTGAATAACAGGTCTTTTTCTTGATATACTCATGTACAAATTCTTGCAAGTCTTTTATTATTTCAAATTGAATAAAGCCATGCCAATTACAGTTTCATCTCATGGGTTTGGTAAGGAAATTGTAGATGAAGGCTTGGACTTTAAGGAGATTGCATATGTATTGTTTGATAAAATGCTTAGATGGAGAAAATAATTTGGGAACTTTCTGTGTGATAAGGAATATCTTTCCACCCATTTGAGGTGATCTTCATTCAAATTAGCTTCTCTGAATTTCTCAAACTGCATAGTCTTTTCTTTCCTTGAATTTTATAATCTAAATTCTGTTGAATTCTCTCTCATTTTTTATTTCAATTGTCTTTTTCTTTAGAATGAATTTGATAGATAAATTTAGGGTTCCTTCTTTTGTTCTCTTCAATAAATAAAATTAGTGGGAATTTTATTTAATCGCACCTCAAATTTGCGCATGTAATATCTATATTCCAAATTATATAAAGGGTTTTTTAAAGAATATTACTAAAATAAAACATATTTACATAAATATGACTATTCATTACTACAATGTGGTGTTGTGGTGACTTAAGCTCAAAACTTGAACATGAATTACTATGATTTCATTACTACTCTAGTCACTAGTCATATTTTTGTAAATCATTTTTATTTTGATCATATTTATGTAATTATTTCTTATATAAAAGTTATGTTAGTAACATATTCATATGTTTTTTTTCTCAAAAATGTAATTTTATTGTGTAAAGTGCATCATGTAAAATACAAAAAACATTTATGAGAATGCAATCAAAACTAAATTGTATCAGATGTAATATTATTTATTTCACAAATTAAAATTTAGGATGTTAATTGCATCTTAACAAAATTTTGAGTACTTTAAATTATATATTTATTCAATAAACTTATATTTGTAAAAAAACATACAATCATGGTTGAAAATATCTTTTTAGATAATGTTCCGAGTATATATATTACATATGTGAGTTTGGGTTCTTATCTCACACCTCATCAAAGTTTGTGATATTTATATTATTTTTCTCTTAAATAAACAATTTTAACAATTGTGAACTGCATCCCGAGCAACGCACGGGTGAAAATTCCAGTACGGAGTAAAAATTGTTAGGCCAAAGAATTTTTCTTTGTAGGGTAATTCTATTCACACTCTCCAAAGTCCAAATTACCCGCACCCACTTAATCACCAATTTTCTACTCCACGGAACATCGTACATACAGCAGAAACACAACATCCACAACATACTCCGAATTCAATACTTCAAAATGATAATATATGCATTTTGAGATTCTTCTACACCGTGACATCCCAAGATGATGATATTTCCTCACCCCTAGAATTGGTCTCATGCACCTCTTATGGTGGAAAGAAGTTCACAATAGCCTTTTAAACAACAAACTAATTGAGCATCTAGTAGCCCAGACACTTCCATGACACTTCCATATGTTGATATTTCTCAAAACCAATTGCTGATGGCCCGATTCGCAACTGCAATCGTTATTATCTCTGCCCACCGGAATTGATGGCTAGAATATCCCTGAACTCAACTAGCTTCATCCGCTGCCACAATCAGACCGTTCGCCCAAGACATCTTGGCAGTAAATCAATTAACGAAAAGTGCAGAGGCTGGAACAATTTTCACCATGGACTTGTCATTTAAAGCTAGAGATGGCAATTTCGGCCGAGCCATTGGATACCCGCACTGAATCGATTTGGTCAAAATGGGGGAAACCGGTTTGACTGGGGAACGGGAACAGAGTAGGGAATACCCGATTTTTTTAAATGGATAATGGTGCAGTAATGGTTCTATACTAATCCGCCCTGTTATCCGCCCCGAAACCGCCCCATAACATTATTAATAAATTCTAACTCTTCATATATAAGAATAATAATAAGTATATGTGCTAAATCGTGTACACTAAATTGTATATATCGTATAAGTAAATAAAGAATAATACACCATAGGCCCAAAACTTTTGTTGCGAAGGATTAATACTTTTTGAAGTGTTGAATGTTAATTTGATGGTGTGATCAATTTAGGCCTAAAACTGTTTTTTGTGAAGGATTACTACTTTTTTAGGCCTAAAACTAAATTTAGGCCTAAACCAATTTTTTGAATTTAGATTCTAGGATGATAACTACTTTTTTATTATGATACAAAAGATATTTGGTACTTGTCATGCATACTAATGAATTTAGGACTAAAATTGATTGATTGCTTGAATATTTACTTTTGTATGTTTTATGGTCATTTGAATATATAATTTACTACAAAGAATGTTTACGTTAACAAGTATGATTAGAAATTGGTAATTTTGGTATCATTTGGGCAAACGGTTACCCGTGGATAAACCGATTCCCCATTGGGGCGGGTACGGTTCAGATAAAAATTACCCGAACGGGGAATGGGGCGGTTTCGGGGCAAACAATTTATCCAACAGGGCGGTTTCGGTTTTATGTGTACCTGTCCCCGATCCGCCCCGTTGTCATCCCTATTTAAAGTCTATCAGTTTTTGTTGTCTTCATCGTCAATTTGATAACATTTCTTGAGATTGGAAATCCAACAGCTAACAGGACGGGTATAGGACGGGTATTGCATACAGGGGCAGATCTGCTTTGTTCGTGAACACCCAAAATTTAAAAAAAAAACAATACAAAAATACATGCTAATAATTCATGTAATTTTTTTTTCTATATGTAATATCTTAGTGGTAAAATAATTGTGAACATCCAAAATCTAGTTGCAAGATCCGCCACTGATTGCAGAGAGGAAGTGGTTGTGGAGAGGGGTTTGACACTATTAATTGTATGGGCTGTATACGATAAGATCAGGGGCATACTAGGAATTATAAAATGATTTTTTAACAAGTGGCTGTATTTAGGGAGTGTTTGTGATTGCTTCTAATTTAAAAAAGTGATTTTGGAGAAAATACTTATATTTAATCACTAGTATATAAATATATTAGATAAATTATATGCCCTCTGCCTTTCGTCACCGCTTAAGTTTTTTACTTGTCTCTTTAACATTCAAGGTAAAACTTCTCATTTTTTTTAGAAGTAATTAGCACTCTCAAATGATAGACTAATCATCAAATATTAAAATAAAACACATATAACATCACATATATCATCATTGACCTCATTATTTTCATCATAAACATTTATCAAAATTCAAAATATATTGTAGTTACCTAATTTAATTATTGTCTACATAAACGTGTCATTTCTGAACAAGAAGTTTTTTCTTATGTTTTGTTCTCATTTACTTACTGTTAGTATAAAATCTAACTTTCAGTGGGTGTATTTTTAAATCTGAACCAGTGTCTTTGTTCAATTGTTGGTAATAGTTTTCATTTCGTAGCTTAAAATGGTACTAGTATTAAGTATGCTAACAGTTTAGTTTTTTCTGATCACTTACTGCATTATATCCTAAACTATCTTTTGATCAAATATTTAGTGAAATATATAAATATAGATAGGAGCAAAGAAAAAAAGGAATTGGGAGGGTCAGTGGCTTTTCGTATATATAATATAATACTTTATTTTACTTTGCATGAAGGAGCATGACGACCCAATTGTGATTAGGAGAGTCAATCTCATGTATCAACTCCTTGGATGAGGATGAAGAAATTTAGCATGGAGCTCTTCCCATTTTACAAGGTTTTTGAGTGTGGTTCTCTTGTAAAGCCCTGGCCTTTGCAAATCGGAGGATCTAATACACAACCAGCAGGTAATCAACGACTTAAGAGCAGTCTAGTAGAAATCTCAGTGACTACTCCTGCCACACCGTATAAGAAATCATTTTGTGAATGGCTAGCTGGAATTATTGATGGCAGTGGAAGTCTTCAGGTGCTTAAGAAAGGAAAAACATCTCTTGAAATTACTATGGGACTTGAAGATGTAGCACTACTACGACATGTCCAACATACGCTTGGTGGAAGTATTAAAATGCGGTCCGGTGCTAAATCTTATCGCTATAGATTAATTCATCACCTTGGCATGATTAAATTAATGAATTGTATTAATGGCCATATTCGTAAATCTGCACGACTAGCACAGCTGCATCGTATCTGTCAAGAGCATGAGATTCCTGTAATTGTGCCCATCACATTAGATGCTCAATCAAATTGGTTTGGAGGATTCTTTGATACTAATGGTAGCATTGACATTATTATGAAGAATGAGTTGCCCCAGCTCAGTATTCGAGTAACTAGCAAACTGCTGCAAGACGTGGAGCCTTACAAGGCCATTTTTGGTGGAGATGTGTACTTTGATAGTGGTCGAAATGGTTTCTATGAATGGTCTGTGCAGAGTCCTGAAGACGTTTTATCATTTTTTGGTTACTTCAAAACAAGTACTTTGAGAAGTCAGAAATCAAGACGATTCTTTCTAATAGATGAATATTATCATCTCTATGATATCAAAGCATTTGAACCTTCCAGTATGAACCATAAGGCATGGTTAGCTTTCCTAAAGAAATGGAACAACTTGGGTGAGTAGCTCATTTTTGTTTTTATTAATAATTTATTGTATTGCTTGGTATTGCTCTGGAGCCAATTTTCTGGCAGCTAGGTAGAGTTACTGGGAAAATAGATTGGAGAATGTGATTACTAATATAAGCTTCTCTATTAATCAATCTGCTCTTTCTTTAAAGTGGCTTTGGTGAGTATAAAGGCTCAGATTGACATTGTGACTGCAGTGTTCTAGGTTTTGATAATGAGATTGTTCTTTACACTGAAGAGTTTATTGGACTTTTGAGGAGTGATTCTGTATATGATTTCTGTGATGCTATTTCACGGATACATGCAAGCAGTGTCAAGTACATATGCAGGTTATAATCTGGGAATATGTGACATCCGAATTGAGAGCATTAAACCTTACTGTGTTTGTGTTGGCAATATCCTGAAGTCTGCTCTCAATTGATCTACTCCTCAAGCATCTGGAATGTCCTGTTTGCTTGAAAACGGTAATATCGTCTCCGCTTTAACCTGTTTTAAAATGTTATACATAATCAACCTATCTTCATTTTTTTATGTTTAAAAGTGTTCAGTACTCAAACAAATAATTGTGTCAAGGAACCTTATGTGGTTATGATGATTTGCCCAAGTCCTTTTATTGGAGTCATGGTTTGATCTTTTTAGCTTCATCTTTTTTTCTCTTCATCCTAAACTAGATTCTCACCCGTGCGATGCACGAAACAAAATTATATAAAATTCATATTATATCATATGTTATTAAAATTACTCAATGAAAATTTGTAGGTAAATAAAATTAGTAAATGTATTAAAAGAGAATAAGAAGTATGTAGTAATATATTATAAAAAGTTATCCAAGGTAATTAATGTAAAGTCCTATCCTCAGAAACACTAACCGCATCGGGGCCGGTGGGGGACGTGGTCGGTCCCATTGTTCGACTCGAACTGGAAATAACGGATTTGATCTGATCCAATCCAATCCCATGAACTGGCCTTGTCATGGTCCCATAGACCAAGTCCATCCCTACTCAAAACTATTTTGATTTATCACTATATAATAATTACAAAATTATAATAATTATAATAACAATAATTATTATTATTATAATAATAGCAGTCCGCTCATACCTTAAAAAAACAGTCAGCCCATATATAAACCTAATAATAGGGCATATACATCCATATCCTAGCCAGCCCATAACCCAACCCAACATCCAATATTAATTCCTACCCAACTACCCCAACCTAGCATAGCCCAATATAATGCATCTTTGTCCCTCAACCTCCCTCATTTGTCCGTACATTCCTCCACACTTGTTTTGGCGATAGACTTTTGATTTCGATTTCACTCTGTAGGCTTTCGGCCATTTGCTCACGAAATTAGTCCTTGAAGCCTTCTTCAAGAGTTCATTGAACTCTGTTATTAGCCCCTAATCTGATGGTATCAATGTTTACTTCGTCGATTCAATGTTTTTATTTTGTTTCATGTTGCCTACTCCGACAATCGTAGCGGTTGTGATGGTTGAGTGATAATCAATGGTCTCAGACTATGTTTACTATCCGTGCGATTTGGGTATGTCAGTTTCGTCTCTGTCCTTCAATTTTTATCCTTGTCTGTGTTAATCCGGATGAATAGCGTTGAACATGATTTTTTTAATAAGAAGCGTCTGTTACCGATTTATATTCTCCACTAATTGTGTAATTCTTATAGATAAAATAATGTTTAACAGGTTTATTTAGTTAAATAAATCTGTAAATTCTTTGGAGTGGGTACATAGATCTTTTGAGATCAATTTTTTCGGTACTGAGATCTTTGAAATCATAAGCCATATGCACCATAGCATTTGGATTGTAATGTGTACATAACTACATATGAATAACATTGTATGCATACTTTGTTGAAAATAAAAACAAAAAACAAAACTGTACTGGGAATTTGACATTTCAATACGGTTTTTAAAATATTGAGATGAGTAGGACCTTAATGTCATACATGTATTACAATATGTTTTTATTTTAAAATACCATTCGGATTGTAGTATGAACGGTACAAATATTAAGTCCTATTATTGGTTATATACTTATCTTTCCTATTGAATTGTATAATTTTTTTAAGATATAATTGCTACAGTTTGTTTTTTTAAATACAAAGGCCTGCTTATAAACCTGAGTTGACTATTTTCGTATTGGTTTTCTTTTCACTTGAACTCCTTCACTGTTTTGTAAAAGAACACATGAAAGTAGACTACTTAATATGTGTGTGCTAAAATACAAACATGGTAGTCTAAATTTTGAACAAATACAGTTTTGAATTCTCCATTTCTTTTGTTTCATATACCTCACATTTATAAAGTAATGAGCATTTGAAATGGATGAATTGTAACATTAAAATAAATATTGAGCAAACATATTTATTTATATTTATATTTTATAAAAGTTTCTGAAAGTGTTGAACCATGCCTTTTAAAACAGTTTCTAAGCTATTCCTCTAATTTGCACCCAATATATGCGATTACTTTCTAAGTCCAACATTCTCTGAACTTTCCATTAAGAAAGTTGAAGCTAACAGTTTTTTAAACTGTATTCCGAATCCCATAAATCAGATATTTGGAAATTAGATTTGCTAACTCTTCAATATTAGACTCTGATACATTGAATGTATATTAACATTTGAAAAGAAATAGTTTCACTACAAACTTACTTTGAGCAAGCATTTATATGTTTATTTATATAATATTGATTATTAATTTTTGTTTATATATTTAAAAGAAATTTTGTTCATGGAATATTAAACCTTCACTTCTAAGATTATTTACGTTAAATATAAATATTTTATGAGTTTTGCTAGAGGTACACAAAATGTGTACACATGTCCGTCCTTCACAGACAAAGTTTTATGAAGGACAGACATGTGTACACATTTTGTATAGCTCAAACATTTTTCATATTTTATATGGTGATGTCTCCCAAGATCCAGTATGCGCCATCCTGCATAATTTAATTTGTTTAAATTAGTCCACAAAAAAATCTTAGGAAAAATGATTTAGTGTTGGTTTTTGTCTTAATATATTTTACCTGGATTTCTCATGGCAGATCGTTGATAGTTGTTAGTATAACCTGTATACAGTGTACACTTCATCTTCTTTAACTTCAGACTTTTCGATACCAAATTGTAGCCCTTTTCACTATTGTATGGATTGGTGTATCCTGTCAAAAACATTGGATGTTAAAATTCAAATAAAACTAACATCAGAGGTAATTACATTGAAGCATTGTTTTTTAAGAAAGCATTACCTACTCGGCTACTCGTTACGCTGGTGTGTATTCGTTGTGGTGTTGAACCGCTAACACATCGAGGGTATTTATAGTGGCGTAAGCCTTGATATGAATTCGGATTAGTGGTTTTTAACCAATGGTTCGTCCATACTCCACAATCTTTAGTCTAAGATTTTTAGTACAAATCATTTAATGATGTGTAGTACAAATGTACAATGCATTGAATGTTTATTTGATGTTCTTACGCTACTTCAGTGAGCAGCTCATTTGAAATATACTAATAAGGACGTTGATACTGTTCAGGTAGTACAAAACAATAAATGCTACGCCGTATTGCACAATAAATCAAGTCTGAAAAAGCAATAAATCAAGTCTAAAGTGCGTTCTCCAAGACCATTCCTCGAGCCACGCAGTCTGAATCATTGGACCACAGATCAGTCAGATCTTGCACATATCCTTACACCCATATTAGAACCGACCCGACCCGAATTTAGGATTTTTTTTGGGCGGGAACACTGTACTAATTTCATCTTCCTTTTGTATAATAGAAGATACTCCCTCCGTCCCATTTATATTGTCCCGTTTTACCTTTTCGGAAAGTCTCACTTAAATTGTCTCATACCATATTTGGCAAAGTTTGTGTGGCTCTAAATCATTCTTACTTTATTCTTACTTTATCAATTAATATAAACCACACAAACCCACTTTTCTTAATAACCGTGTCACCCTCTTCCCTCCCAATATAAATGGGACGGAGGTAGTAGCTGTTATAAGATGGCAACGTAATTGAATTTACTTCTTGGTTGATTTTCCTAGGGAGCTTGCGGTGTTTGATTTGCAGTTTTACAAGAGGGCAGGCCAAACACTATTTCTGCAATGGAAGGCTATTTTGCTTATCTGCTGTTTATGATAACTGTAAATTTTGGGAACTTTGGGTCAGAAACATTGGAATATGCCAGAAAGAGTTGCTTTTGTCATCGTGTTCTTGGGTTGGGGATATCTCTGGGTCGTACATATATCAGCTCATATCTTATGTGTTGGGCTGAGTTGGACATTGTCGGGGTAATGTCCCTATATGTAATTAAATAAATAAATAAATAAATAAATAAATAAATAAATAAATAAATAAATGTGTGCATATATTAAAATTAATTTGGACATTTCATACTTAATATTAGTTGGTTCCATCTTAAAATTATTGCTTCTACAGAGGTGATGGATTCTCAGTCTGGTTCGAGGGTGAACGGCAGACATAAGGCTTTTTATCATTTTGTTTACTTCTCTTTCTTTGATTGTATTATCAGCCATGTGACGAACGTTATTTTGATTTAATATATTAGTTGGATTTGATGATAAAAAAACAATACAATGATACTATTTATAAATTATAACGAGGTATTAGAAAAAAGATATACTCCCTCCGTTCCTAATAACTTTGTCAAGTTTGACCGGCAAGGAGATTAATAAAGTAAAAACTGTGTGGTTGAGATTTGTACAAAGAAGAGAGAATTAATTGGAGCCACAAATTTTTTACTTAAATGGGGAAGTGACAAAGTTAATGAGACATCTAAAAAGAGAAAGTTGGCAAAGTTATAAGGGACGGGGGGAGTATTATGTATATATCAGTGAAATGCCTAAAAAAAATTTTTGTTTTATACATACATGCTCCCTTTGTCCCGCAATTAAGTTATTGGTTTGACTTCACACATATTATGAAAATAAATTTGACTTTACAGTGGACTTCACTGTTTAAACACTGTTTTGATGTAGATAATTTGCTAAATAAAGAAAGTACTGAAGTGTGAACTTAATTTAGGGACTGCCCAAAAAGGAAAATGGGAACTTAATTGCAGGACGGAGGGAGTATATCTTACTTATCATCAATCAAATTAAAGTTTGAAGAATACAAAATAATTGAGGAAGGATCACACTGCTAAATCTGACATAGAAACGATTGCCCTTGTTAGATTGTGGGTAATAGCTTAGGATTAGCATACACAAAGCTTCTGCTTACAGAGGTAGTACGAGTAGGGTTGGACTCGGGCCGGGTGGCCCGACCCGGAACCGGCACTGTTCCGGCCCGGCCCGGCCCAGTGGCTCGGTCAGTGACCGGTTCGGGTAGGCCCGACCCACTGGGGTTCTGGTCCGGGCTCGGGCCCCTCAAAACGTGAACCGGCCTGGCCGGTTCGGGCCCGGTCCGGGCCATTTTATTTCTTTTTCTTTTGTTTTTTGAATTTTTCTTAAGTTTTTGGGTTGGGCGGGGTATTTTGGGTCATTTGAGATGGTTTGGGATGGTTTGGGGGTGAGGGGGGTGGTTAGGGGTTAATTAGGAAAAGGCAAAAAAAAAAAATTGAATCGAGGCCCGGCCCGGACCCGGGGGTTACCCGGGCCGGTTCCGGGCCTCCCCTTTCCTGAACCGAAGCCTGGCTGGGCCTAGGCCCGAACCGGGCCTGAACCGGCCTGGGTCCATGCCTAAGTACGAGCTCCTCCATGCTTGTAATTTATTTTCCTAAATCTGTCCATCTGCCCTATTATTGCCGTACATAATTTTGTTGAAAGGGAAGGAATGATGCCAATGCTAAGAAAAATCGAATTTTGGAAGCCAACGTGTAGGCAAACCCAACAGAGCATGACTTGGATTTCCATAAATGCCGGTGTCTAAGCCAATCAACCCTACAATCCATAGGTCTCTCACTGCCACTGATCAACTCTAGTAGTAATAAAATACATTTCCCAAGTTTTTTTTAGTTTAGGTAAGTTGAAGCAAATAATTATTTCATACGACCATAATAATCACTTCTAAGTAAATTTGAAAATGGATTTTATGTATTGATTAAACTTAAATGAGATTGGGTTAGTTTAATAGGTCAACCAGACTATTTTGTAGTCTGTATGTATCAGTATGATATAATAATAAGGATATATATGAATTTATCAGTATTACTATGATTATCCTTGTACGTAGAATTTTTTAAGTAATCTTTAGTGTGCGGTAGTTTACGAATAGGAAAATAGTGTTTGGGACCTAGTGAATTGTACCGACGAATCGGATTTACATCTCTCAAAGTTTAGGGTAAGTTCTTGAATTCGAGATCACCCGGTGTTAACAAAAAATGTAAGCCTTTTTTATTTTTTCTATATTTCCACGGCTGACTAATGAACAACACATCTTACACTCTATTATCTATTTCATCACTTTAATTTGTTCAACTCTCTTTTATTAAAAAATGTTATTTTATGTTCTAATTGTATTTTCTTTTATTGAGCAACACCCTGGTCTTCTCTCATGTTCTTTTATTAACTGCCTATACAATTCTAGTATGTTATTATGTCATCCAATTATCCATTTTAACAATGAGCAACTACCCTAGTATTGCAATCCATTTTAGCCTACACTACGCATTGGCCACATTATCATTTTGTTGGTATGCGTTATTTTAGGAGTTGCCAGCTTCCTTATTATTTCCTTGTTAGATATGCCAAACTTTGAGAATTGGCACTTGAATTGTAGATATTTTGTTACCTTTGTGTGCTGATTGAGTGTTTCCCATGTGTACTGCCTTCTTTTTGTCAATAAATCAATCCATTATTTTTAGAGAGAACAGTAGTTGTCTGTCTTTCTACGGTAGCTTTGTGCAATCATCTATCTGCTCCCTTAATTTTGTGCTAGTTTTACATACTTCTCTTCATGACACTCTGAATCTTTTTACTTGGACTATAATTCGTCCCAGACCAGACCAGACTTGGATAGTTATAAAAATACAAAGAAACCGAACCAGGCCAGACTAGACCAGCAAATTACAGTCCAAGTAAAAACGTCCTATGAGAGTGAATGACAGGAAAAAAAGTGTATGTAAGAGTGAACAAAAATGGGACCATTAAATTTCGACGATCGCTTCCCATCCTCAACAAAGTTTTATAGTGTTTGTGGGAACTTAGGAAAAGTGCTTTTCAATTTTTGACTTAAAAAATTGAAATTAGTGTTTTCAAGTGACAATTTGATTAAGTTAAGCTCTTAAAAGATGAAAACAAATGAATGGTTATTTTTATTGTATTTCACTTTTTGTATTGCACAAAAAGTATTTTTTTGTCAAACACCACCAATTTTTACTTTATAAAATCATTGTTTATTCAAACATTATCAACTTCTACTATTAATAGTAACTTATTGGAGTTATGCGGACAATTTGTCGAATTGTAGAGCCTATTGATTTTCTCATAGGTTTACAAGTTTTATTCTCTTTTTTCTGCCGCTCTACGCACGGGTAGCTCAATTGGTTGAATGATTTGAGAGTTGGAAGAATGACTATGGTTCAAAACCACAACGAACGTGTGGGGATTAAGCTCTTGTGTGTTGAGCTGGATCTCTGATTGCACGAGTAATATATGATCTATCACCGTTGAATTGACAGAGTCACCGTGATTTATAACTCTCATATGTCAATATGTCATGTTGGATCAAGGCATGGGGAGCCTTAGGTTATGAATTCAACTCTTTTTAGAGGAATCTATGAAATCTTAGAAAATTTGATTCGGCCATAAAGCAATCAAAAAATACTACTCCATCCGATTCAAAAACAAGTTCCACATTTGACTTCACACATATTAAGAAAAAAAAATTGACTTTACTGTGAAGTGCACTGTTTGACACTGTTTTGATGTAGATAATTTGCCAAATAAGGAAAGGTTTGAAAGTGGAACTTAATTTTGGAATTGTCTGAAAAGGAAAGGTGAAACTTGTTTTTGAATCGGAGGGAGTACATTTGTTCACGCATATCTTCCAGTCAACGTAATTTGTTCTTGATCTTTTACCTTATGTACCTAACATATCAAATATGGGTTTTGTAGAACTTTGCAAAATTTTTAATGTAGTATCTGAAAAGGGAATATGTAATTTTTATTTACTAGAATTATTCTTTATTATATATCAGTTTAATTTAGGAAAAATTGAAAATAATAATCTCAACTATTGCCGGTCCGCTGATAATAATCTCAACTATTGATTATTTTTGTATAATCTCAACTATATGGACTATCCGCCAATAACGGTTCATGACCAGATATTACCTCCTATAACAAGTGAATTTTAAATAGAAATTGAGCGTAAAAATTAAAAGTTAGGATTATTTATAGGGATTACTGGCTATATTTCTTCTCATTTGCTTTAGAAACTACATAAATTTATTTACATGGACCATTATTGGCGGAAGGTCCTTAAAGTTGGGATTATTCTGAAATAATCGATAGTTAGAATTATTATGAACGGACTACCAATAATTGAGATTATTACTATCAATTTTTCCTTTAATTTATTATGATCAGATATCATAAGGTGTATGGAGAATTTTTAAATGGAATGCAGTACATCATAATAATTGATTAATAGTTATTCCAAAAGATGGAATCTCCCACCCCATTAGCCCTCACACCCTGACCCGAAAGAATGGTGAAAAGTAGTAAATCACGGTAACTCTGTCAGTCTAATGGTGGTAGATCTTATATCCGTGCGCACCAGAGATCCAACCTGATACGCAGAAGTGGCAACCTCTACACGATCATTGTGAGTTTCGAATCTTGATTATTGTTCCAATTTCCTAGCACTCAATCAATTGAGCTACCCGTGTAACGTAGGTAATAATTAATTACTCCGTAATACATAAGTACTACTAGCACAGTAGCACCTAGGGATTGTGAATTAGGTTCAAGCGGTCAGGCCTAAAAAGTGAAAGGGTGATCACTGATGGTGAAGTTTATACATAAAATAATTCCATGCAGCAATAAAGATACATGATTGGAGAGTCAGGATAGTACATTTTTTAACGTTTTCAGTAATGTATGACGTGTCAACATTCATTCAACATTTCCTGAAAAGGATACCCAATATCCAATATGTTAAGAGAAATTTTTTGAATATAATCACAATTATTACCATAGTATTTAAAATCAATCTTATACGGAGTGTGTATGTTACAAAAACACTTCCAAATTCCAATTATGTCCAGCGCTACCAATTGAGAGCCCGTTTGGAGAACTCTGTTTTCGGCTTATCAGGCTTATCAG